AGCCCCTTTTTTATATTTTTTTTCTTTCTTTCTTTTTTTCGTTTATTCTTTCAGATACCATCCAGTCAAATGTTTCAGAGTTTTGATCAATAAAAAGCTCTGTGTTTTTCCAAGTGATTTTTGGCCTTTAATCTTAACATGCATCTTAGGAACCAAACATAGCCATCTAAACATTGTACTTTCCGATTTTGTCGCTGGCCCATATGCTGCTCCAGACACCTCTCTTGGAACAATGCGAATACACTCGTCCTGCCCTCAACATCCTAAGGATGCTTTACAGCACAGTGACTGGTAGTATCTGTGCAGTTGCAAGTCCTTATAGAGCATTACAGCCCCACGTTGTCTATTCTAAACAATCAGGACTCAATTATGGCCGATGATTGACTCCTTCACAGTAACGTGTGTGTGTGTGTGTGTGTGTGTGTGTGTGTGTGTTGGGGATTGAACCATATCACTGAACTACAACCCCAGTTTTTTATTTTTTATTTCGAGATGGAGGGCTCTCACTAAGTTGTCCGGGATGGGTTCAAACTTGTGATCTTCCTGCGTCAGCCTCCCAGAGCGCTGGGATCACAGGCATGTAACCCCAGGCTGGGTTTAACAGTAATTTCTTCCCATCACTTCTATTCCTCCTCTCCTTCCCTCCCTCCATACTTCCTGTCTAAAACCATCAGGCTGAAAGGGGCGGACCCTGACACCCCTTCCACCTCTTTAAATGAGACGACTGGCTATAGAAAAGCTCTTGGAGCACTCCTGTGAAAGGTAAGTCAAGGTATAGGGGGTGCTTTTCCCGAGTTTGACAAACACGTTAAAGGGCAACGCAGAGAGCCGTGAACGCTGGAGACAGCTCCTTCTTCCCAAACCCCCCTCAGGGCAGAGACTGGAGCTTCTCCGGCCGAGTCGGGGGGGCGGGGCCATGGAGGGGCGGGGGCTGCAGGGCGGGGCCTCGGTAGGGGAGGGGAGGGGCCTTGGCAAAGGCGGGGCGGTTCAGCTACTGTATGCTGAGCTCCCCGTCGAGGCTGGGGGCAGTTCAGCGACTGTGCGCCACCAGTCCCCTGCCAGCTGCTCTCGACAGGTCAGTAATCAGAGGGCGGCAGAGCAGGTGGAGCAGCACAGGAGTCCGGCAAGGGCTCCGTCACCCGTTTCCCTGGTGTTCGCGCCCCGCGCCTGGCTCTGCGTCGGAACCATGGACAGCACCCGCGGCCCGGCTCCGGGGCGGCGTCTTGACGCGGCGGGCTTCTGGCGGGTGTGGCAGCGCTTTGATGTGGACGGTGAGTAGAGCGACCGCTTGCGGTGTAGACCCAGAGTCCCCTTCCCGCGCCCCTTTCCCTGCGGGGAAGTCTCCTGCATGCGTCGTTTATGCCCACACCTGGACACACCTGTGGAGAGCGCGTGTGGGACATCCAGAAACCTCTCGCAAACTCACTGCCTTCCCAGAGTGTGTGAGTGTGTGATGTGCTATTTGTGTAATGATAAGTATCATATATGTATGGTGGGCTGTGTCTCAGTAATTTGAAAGTAGCCTTCCCTAAGTGTGCTTATTTTTAGGAGTGACTTTGTTTTTGTTTTACCTCCAAACACACTTTCAAAAGGAGTAGGAATTTTATCAATTTTCAAATTTATTCTTTGTCCACCAAAAAGAAAAAAAGAGAAACTTTCTTAAAAATACAATGAAACTAACCATTTTCTCTGCTTTTTATTAACAAAGAAACAAAAAGAAAACATCTACAACTGTTTAAATCTGCAAAATAAGATTCGACATTTTCCTTTGGTTTTTCAACCTTCCAAAATCATTGGGTTAGATTTTATTCTAAAGCTCTTGTTTATTCATTGATTACAAGCTATGTATTTAGTAACTTTCTTTTCCCAAATGTTAATACAACCTCCTGCATAAAGCATTTATTCTGTAATACTTATTCACTGTCCAAATCCATGTCTTCTGTAAGTATGTGTTGGTACTTAGTTATTGGAATAGCAAAAATGGTACCCATGGAAATATTGTACATTGTGAGGTTGAAAACAAATTTAGATAAAAGCTAAAAGTCACATGTCATTGTGTATAAGTGACTGTTGTTTATGCTTATCTTTTTGCATTTAGAAAAAGGTTACATAGGAGAGAAGGAGCTAACTGCTTTCCTTCATCAAATGCTGATGAAACTGGGTACTGATGTAAGTACTTACAGCACTAAGGATTAATTTATGTGTCTCTTAGTGAAATACAAACATCCAAGTCTTGTGTTGATTTGTACCTATTAATCTCAACTGACCTCCTTTCTTCCTTTGCATACATGTAATTTTTCTCCCTCTCCTAGCAACACAAAGAGATTTAGGCAGGTTTTATAAAAGATACAACTATAACATTAGCTGTACTGGTCATTGACATTCATTGTAACATCTGTCATCCACTCAGAGATTTTAACTGCAGGCTCAATCAACTCTGTTCTAAACAGTTCCTTGGTTACATCTCTGCTAATGGATTTAAACCTAGAAATAGGGTAGCACACTTTGGTCACAAGATCAAAAAGTTGGAAACAGATGTAAATGTAAAAGCTTTAGGCTTCTGGGTGTTTAATGCCTATGATTTTCTTTGATAGGAAACAGCAAAAAACATTTCCAATTATTTTTTTATTATTCATTTTATTAGAAGAAATTACAGAGTCCTCAGGAAAAGACAAACTTGAAAGAAACCAACACACTCAGAGTCCAGAGAGAAATGTAAACCAATTCATCCAGTGTTCAGGTCCCAAATGGCAAATCCAGCCTCAAGAGATGTAGACTGCTCTTGAGGAGTCTGGTAGGAAAGCAGAGGGAAAACAGACTCAGGAGCTGAGATCCAGGCCCGCAGTGTGGGAGGCGGAGCTCTGGCCCAGCCACAGTGTCAGTGAATCACAGAGGTTATTTATCTTCAGACGTGGTTCACCTGGAAGGGTACTGAAGTGCAGCACATCCTCCAGAGGACGCCCAGGGGCTGGCTCTCCACCACTGAGGAGGGAGGGGATTGAGGACAGGGGCATCCTGGTCAGTAAAGGAGAGGCTGCTGCCTGCCCTTACCAGCCACACGGGTCTCTCGTCTGTTTGCCAGCATTTTCTTTCTTTCTGGCCTGTCTTCACTTCTGCGTCTTATCTCTGCATTTGCACACCTCGCCACCCCCCCTCATTGTCTCTTCCTTTCTCTCTGACCTCTCTGTCTCTCACCTCTGTTTCCCTGCTCCTTCTTTCTCACTCATTTCTTCAGCTCTCTGTCTCTATTTTCTCTTTCCATTTCCAGTCTGCTTCTTAAAGGTCACTTTTGTCCCTTCTTTCTCCATGTTTGTTGTTTTCCTTTTCTCTTTCCTATCACTCTCTGTCTCATCTCTTCATTCTTCATTTCTCTTATTAGCCCCCAGCCTCAGTCTTTTCTCTTTTGGTTACACATCTCTCTTTTTTGGTGCCACCCCATGCCCTTGCAGCCTGTGGGGTGAAGGGAGGGGCAGGTGAGAGGGACGTGGACGTGAGTCCTCTCTCTTCAGTCAGATCTTTCCACACCTTCTCTTTATTGTTCATTTCTGCCTTGGCATCAGCTATGAGCAGAACTCAGGATGTCCCCAGGAGGGGAGACTCACAGTCCTATTTCCAGCCCTGTTTTATATGCCAGCAGCATCTGTACATTCTGAGGCTCATGCTTCCATGAACCCAGGCATCAGACACCGTTTTGTTGACCATGGACAGAGGTGTCTGGGGAAAAGCCAAAAGATGGAGGTTAAACCATTCAAAGCCTTGGATAGCCACCTTCTGAGCTTTAAAACAGGATGGTCACTCCTAAAACTCTAGATGTCCTGAAACTTGGAACTTTACACCTTTTCAGAAGTCTTCCCACTTTAGTGACGTATAGAAAAGGAGAAAATTTGCAGTCAGTACTGAAACTGGGACCGCCTCATTTTCAGGCACAGGAGGGTATGGCCACCCAAGCACAAGGGTTTGCTCTAAGCTGAGGACACTTGGATCTGTCTTCATCTGAAGCTGTGGCCAAGCTGAGAGGAGTTGGTGAGAGAGAAGAGGGAACCACCTCTTGAGGAGCAGGCTGTTCTGATCACCGGTGACCCCTCTGGTCTTGCCCTGTGGATCCACACTCACACATGGGCAAACAGACTCCTTGGAGAAAAGAGATTTAAAATGAACCACCAGTGTTCAGCACAAGCAGAAAATTGGACAAGAGGTCTCAGAGTCCTTAGACCAATGCAAATTAAACTTTGATATGCTTGAGAATGATCTGTGTTGGTTCAAATGCAGACGCTAGGAATTTCACTGCATTCAGGGCCTGGAAAGAATCTTGCACTGTAAGAATTGGTTTGCATCTTCTTTCACCACCCTCAGTACCTGCAGAGACAGTGACTGGCTGTGCAGAGGGGTCCCACTACGATCGGGGCAGCCCCACTGAGCTGTGGCAGTAACCCCAGGCACCCCTGCTAGGGAGACAGCTCTGAAAGATTGATCAAACCATGAACCAGAAATGGTGCTACCTGCCACTGGTTCCCCAAGTGGTAACTGGGGGAGTGTGGCTTCAGGGACCTTTGCTGGGTCATTCTGTGCTGCCTTCACAAACAGATTACAAAAACTGGAAGTGTCTCGATTCTAGACTTTTTGCTCTGGTCAGCAGTGAGCTGGTACTAAACGAGTTCAATCAGGAGGAACAGTGTACAGTCAGAGTACAATCAGCAGTGTGGGTGGTTCCTAGTGTACACAGAAGCTAGCAGAAGAGGGGCCTCCAGGGTCAGGCTCTGGGTGTAGGAGTGACATGAAGTTCATCAGAGGCCTGAACAGCTCCACGTTTTCTCACTGATTAGTGCATCACAGAGATCTCAGAAGCAGGATTTTGAGGGTTCTAACAGCAAGCTGCCTGCTTGTCAATCTTGGAGAGCAATCAGGCTGCTGTAATTACCTGCTCCTTACAGCCTCTGAGGGGCCTGGCTTAGTGGAAATGGCTGCTATTGCTGCTCTGCCTGCAAGCCTCATCTTTTGTTCCCAAATGTTGAGGACTGGCCTCTAAACTAGGCTATATCTGGCCAGTGCATACTGATAATCAGTTTCTGTGTGCACACCTCCCTTATGTACTTGCTGCTTCAATAGTGAGGTGTGCTGGAAAATGCTGGTTTCAGTCTCAGTCTGCCAATATCCAGACCTCCTTCCATGCTCTGGAGATTGCAATTGCCCTGCTGTAGTCTCAAGTCTCTGATAAGGACTGATGGGGAATAGCATCTGAGGGAACCTTAGGCTCTTTGGGGACTGGTCCATGGAATTGTCATGGGCTTTGGGGTTAGAGGTCTGAGAGGAGAGATGTTAAGTCTCCGTGCCCTCAGACTAAAGGTGGCACAGAGAGCCTGGCCACTGCTTCTTTGGCTTCACAAACATTTGCTTTGAAATCTAATTTTCCATCAACATGGCCTATGTTAATTAACTTTCGTTGGGAACGCTGAGCCCACCATAAACAATAATTTATTCATTCAACAGATGCTATATTACAGAGATAAATAAATAATTGCTTTTCTGGCAGAGTTCTTACTCTAAAAGGTGAAGCTGGAATTTGAAGTGAAGGCCCAGCGCATGGAGAGATCTCCACTGTGCTTTTCCTGCTTGATGCGGGGACACCTGATTAGTAGGGCTTCTCCAGAGAGACAGAACCAGCAGGGAAGATATGTAGGTCTAAGAGAGGAGATTTGTTAGGAAGTTGGCCCATGCTGTTATGCTGGCTGAGAAGTCCCATGGCAGGACATCTGCAAGCTGGAGACCCTGGGTGCTGATAGTCTTGCTCAGTCTAAGTGCAGAGGCCTCAGAACCAGGGGAGCCAATAGAGTCACCTTCAGTTTGAAATCAAAAGCCTGGGAACCCAGGATGGGGTCTGCTGGCATACATCCTGGAGTCAAGGGCAAGACGGCTGGGACTTCGAATGTCCAAGACAGGAGATGAGAATGTCCCAGCTTTCAAGGGGTTGGGGACCATTTTGTCTTCTGTAATTGTTCTCTCTGTCCCCGGCCAAGTGGGTGATGGGCATTTGCACCAAGGGTGGGTCTTCCCCACCAGGCCCACTCAGACTCATATGCTGACCTCCTCTAGAAAGGCCTCACAGACCTGTCCAAAGTCATGTTTTCTGAGGCTCTAGGTTTTCCTTCATCCTAACCATCGCAACATCCAAACGTGGTACTGGGGCTTGACAGGCTGACCTATAAGTGTTCAGTGCCAGTCCCATGGAGAAGCCTGGTGGGCAGGGAATCTTGGAATCTCAGAATCTCTGTCCACTTTCCATCCAGGAAAAATACAATATAGCACTTTGTCTGAAGGCCCACTCTAGAGAAGTCTCATGAAGTAGGGGAAGGAAAACTCCACATGAAAATGGAAATCAGACATTTGTGTCCTAGCTAACATCAACATGCCACTTAAACCTCCTGCATTTGCCTCAATTTTCTTGTCCACAAAATGAGAATAATCATGTTTTGGCTTCCAGTGTCACAAAGAGACAGCTCAAGTGAAAAGGGCCCCTTAGCTGTGGAAGCACCTAATGTATACCTCTGGCATCTTCTTGAGGCCTTAGCTGTCCCATTGTTTATTCTGGACCCCTTCCACCTTCTTAGATCCACTAATGGACTACCCTACACAGGATAATTACTCTCTTAAACACTGAAAAGCTTTTAAGATCTAACCCTAAACACATTTGTCAATGAGATGGGAGTTTTCGAAAGCAAATTTTCTATTTCCCTTGGAGAATGGCTTCAGTCACACTCTCCCTTTGGTCCCTCATGAGTAAGGAAACTACTCACTGGGAGAGATAGTCACCTCAGGGGCCCAGGACACTTGCTCAGAATGAGACAAATAATCCATTTCTGATTTCTTCACCTAAGATTTTGCTTCCAAATCACTAATGTCTTTTTTCATAATTTTCATTTAATGTGTGTTCACTTAGGAATGTATTCAGTCTTTAAACAAGGCTCTTGACTATTCCCTGTCTATAATCATCAAGTGAATACACTTGGCTGATGTGCTTACAGAGTCAATCTGTCCACGTCCTCTTATTTTAATCATTTAATATTTCTAAATACAAGACCAAAGCCATCAATCGAGCAGATGGCTTTGGTATGGCTAGAACACTCAAATCCATTTGATTAATACATCATTTACAAATGCTGGAGGTTTGGATTTGCTTTTTTTAAAAAAAATTAAAATAGCTGTATATATAAATGCTTATTAACAAAACTTTTAATTAATTGCAAAATCTTACCTTCACTGCAATTTATTCCAAACAAAATCTATTCCTTACTGTGTAGTATCCAGTTGGGAACCATATGATACATTAGTTCATTAATCTCTTTCTGTTTATATACGTCACCCATTTATCATATTTTAATCTAATCCCCACCAGCAAAAGACAACAAGAGAAAAAGAGACACAAATGCTGACGAAAGTTTGTGGATGGCTAGACAAGCAAGAGGAAAAATACTGATTGACACGAAACTGAATGGGTTCCCATATTTCTCACAGTTTTTTTTTTTTTTTTTCCTTTGGTACTGGGGATCGAACTCGGGTCCTTGCGCTTGTGCAGCAGGCAACAAAACCACTCAGCTAAATCCCTGGCCCAAAGGTTCCCATATTTCTGTTACCACACCAGTCCTGGAAGTATAGAAAATTAAGGTGACATTAGGGGATCCAATAGCTTAAATTATCTCAGCTCAGAGCATTTTTTCTACTTTACTGTTATAACTCACCATCAAACATTTCCTGTGCACCAACCTCCCACAATTAATGAGACAAGATTCTAATTTCAGGGGCCAAAATCCTACAATAATGCTCTGGGTCTTCCCTCGCATACAGTTGCTTCTTCTGGCCAAGGTGCTCCTGGCTTTCTAAGAACTGACTTTCACAATTCAGGGTCTTACGATATTTAAAGTGTCCTTTTACTTAACTGATTGCCAGAGCCTATCCTGAAAACAATAAGTCCCCATGTTCTCCTTGGACTTTGAGCCATTGCTCGTTTATAACTCCCGAATGTTGGGTACTCTGCCTGTGCTGTCTGCCTCAATAGTAAGGTGTGGTGGGAGGTGCTGGTTTCAGTCTTACTTTGCCAGTATGGAGCAATGGGGAGTCACCCTCTTGGACTCTTTCCTCAGCAGTAAAATGAAAGGGCAGTGCCTACGATTCTTAGAGAAGGATGCCTGACATTCTCTGATTCTTTTCTCCTCACTCTTGCTTCCAAAACACAGACTGATTGGAAAGAAGCAGGCCCCTTGATTCAGAGTACAGCAATAGATGTGATTTACTGTGATTGTAGTGTTCCTCTTTTTATACCTCAGGTCCTACAAGGCAGAGGGTTTATGGGACTCTTCTAGATTTCCCACTCTTGGGTAACATTCACCATATGAAAAAGGTCAAGTGCAGAGATGACTGCCTAAGGACAAGAGGGCATACCTGAAAGGACTCTCAAGACATTTCTACAAAAACAGAACAAAACAAGACAAAACAAAAAACTTGAGGTATTTTCTCAGCCAGTGGTGGGAAAGCAGTAAAGGAGAGTTTCAGTGTAAGGAGCTGGAACATGTATGATGAACAATGATGAGAATGGCTACAAACCAAAACAAAAAGCTCCCTGAAGAGGAAAGTCTAGGAGGACAGCATAGAAACCAAGGGCTGAAGAGGGTGGTGATTTTTTTGTTTATAATCTCCCATGACCACTGTGAAGAAGCCATTTGTCAAAGAGCCTGGCTGGCAAGCTCTCCACAAATGTTTATTCACCTGCCCTTGTAAATTAGATGCAGGTGTCTGTTATTCTCTCCCATGGGTCCCTCCCACCACCTGCTTTTTCAGACTATCAGAGAGGGAGCCCAGGGGAAAGAAAGTCAGGGCAAGGGTGTCTGGCACAGCCTGTGCCGGAGGGCAATGGCAGGGTCTGCTTTGCTGACTGGGGTCAGGGTCATGTTCAGCACTGGCTGGGTACTCGACAAAAAGTTGTTGCCCTGGATTTTATACCTGGGTACAACTTGTTGTGGGGGGCCACCATGTTTGAGGACATCCTGTTCTAGGAGGGACAGGAACCGTGCTTGAGTTGTCCCAGACAATTCCTTTTTAATCTCAGAAGGGCTCATTCTCAGCACATCCTACAGTTATTCCTGAGAACTATGAGGGAGAAACGGGGAACTGGGTGAGTCCTAGGCCCCCAGGGAACAGCTCCAGATGTGTGCCCAGGCACAGTGTACCCACAGAGCCTTCCAGGAGCCCGGAGTCACCCTCACTCCCAACGCCAGCAGGGAGGGTGGTCAGTCCAGATCACCACCTCTTCTCAGCCCTGTAACTCACAGCTGATGGGCTCGGGGCAGGAATAGAATGATGCTACCAGAGACAATTAATTTTACATGAATTCTGCAAGTATGGAAGCTCAAAAGTGGGCAGTGTCTGGGATTGTCTCTGCCTCTCAGCAATCGCAGCAGAATTGCCTCCTTTTTGTTGATGCATCTGTCACATTTCTTGGAGTGTCCCTCTTTGGTGGTTCCCAAAGAAGATAACTAAATGTGTAGAAAAAGGTTGTACATGGAGGAGAAAGGTGACATCTTTGCTAACAATTATTTTTTTCCCTTTGGTTTTCTTTCTTTTTCTTTTTTGGTACCAGGGATTGAACTCAGGACCTTGCGCTTGCCAGACAGGTGCTCCTTTGGTTTTCTTTTTCACTATTTCACTCTTATAATTATTTTTTCCTCTGAGTGTACAAGGAAAAAATTAAGGGAATGGCTTGGAGTCTCCAAAACTGGACTTTTTAGTTAAAAATGGAAACATCTGTATATTAGTTATAATACAGTCTTTTCTTGCAACCTAATAGATAATGATATTCAAATTTATTCTCTCAGCACTCTTATCTCTCAGGTTCTTTTCATCCGTATTTTAGTGATTCACTCTAAATTTTACCTAGACATGATTTTGATAGCTTGTTGGTTCCAAAAGAAATCTCCATGTGTGCTCTCTCTTCTACAAAAGGGTAGTATCACTCACTCTAAATGACCAAGGAAGCAGATTTCCAGGCTGGGAGAACATAATGATTGGGCTATATGTTTTGAATATTTGCTATCCTAACTATATTTTTGGGATCCTGGGTGACTTTAATGTGGTTATATGTGGCCCATTGCAGGACTCAGTTATGGAGGAAAATGTGTGCAAGATGAAACAACAATTTATGACTGCCCATGGTGTCCCTAAAGAAGGTCACATAAGGATGAAAGAGGTACCATTCATGATTGTATTTTTCTTGGCTGTACTTTCTTAGGTTGTGATTTTCCTTGAAAGACAATGGGAATCTTAATATTTGATTGGGAAATTAGACTTTCTGCGCGGCAGTTGGCCTGGATAACATTTTGGAAGTAATCACTTCTCCTTTTTCATCTGCTTAGTTGCTTAGTAACAAAGACTGTGTAATTCCTTCATCATTTTATTTAGGTCAATCAATATTTGTACCTATTTTATGATTGGGGACTTGGATGATGGAGGCCTTTCAGGTACTTGAGTCATCATCTGTCTCTCTGGAGTGTCTTGTTCAAACTAATCCTTGATGTAAGGAAAAATTGACAAGACATTAAATGAGTTTAAACTTGTGCATTAGCTCCCAGTGGCGCTGATCTCCCTGAAGATTATTAAAGACAAACAAAAAAATAGCTTTTTTCAACTCAACCTCTCTTTTTGAGTACTTACTAAAGCAAGCCAGTGTTTTTAGCTTGTAACATCTAGGATGGTCCACTTCTTACCTGATCTTTCCTCCTCCAATCCCAAAAAAGGTTACTATTTAGAAAGAAATTCCACCACAGTTGCGTACTGCTTCACATGAGTACATGTACTAAGAAGAGCATAGCCCTGTGAGCATCATAAAGCACAGCTACACAAAAATAGATGATATGTCACTCCCTCAGTGTAGCCTCTGGAAGCCACCAAGAGACACGGAACATGAGCTGTATGAGGCTGTCATGGGAGTGTTTCACATCTAGTAGGAGCATGATACCTTTGGAAAAAAAAATCAATAAATCAATAAATGACAATCATGGGCTCAGGGCTGCAGCTGGACTCTGTCTTGCAAGACAGAGGAGGCCTCTGCCTTATAGTGTGCATCAAGCCTGTTGCCCAGGGGATACTCCTTAAAGCAACACTGGCCAGTGTCCCTACGACCTTGACTGCTATTCTTTGCTCCTTTAGCTGGCCAGAATGTTCTTGTCTGAGGATGAAAACTTTCTTCTCCTCTTTCGCTTGGAAGCCCCCTTGGACAGCAGTGTGGAGTTCATGCAGGTGAGTGTTGTGCTGCAGCCACTGCAGTCCCAAGAAGACTGAGCAAAGAAGCCTTCAGGAGCAAGTAGGGTTGCCCCTGAGCTGCAGATCCTCTAGTGGGCTCAGCCAGGTTTGCTAAGAGTGGGGTGTAGAGCAGGGAGGGCTGGCACAAGCAACAGGGACAGCACATGTCCTGTCCAAAGCCAGTACCCCTGCGGAGCTCCAGGGAACTTTGCCCTTTGAGAATTCTGTCTGGAAATCCAGCCTGTCTGTGGAACTCACTGTAGTTGTGAAGGCACAATGCAGTCAAAACATAATCTACCCATGTGCTGATCTGCTTGCAACCACTGTGCTGGGGTAGAAGCTATAGACAATATCAGTGGTCCCTCCGGCTTCCTTCTTCTGGGGGACTGCCTCTGGTTGTTTCTGCTCTGTTAGAGAAAACCACCCATGGGCTCAGATCACCACTTTTGTCCTGCGCCCAACTCCTGAAATAGTCGTCATGCTCCCATTTAGAAATGATAGCGTCTTATCCTTTGGCACTATTTTGTTTGGCTTCATGTAAAATTGGACAAGCACCTGCATAGACAGTTCGCAGAAGAAATTTGCATAGACCATAAATGGATACCAATAACCCCCACAAAATGTAATTTAAAATAAAATAAAATAACTAAGTTTTTACAATCAAAGTGGTAAAGATTTTAAGGGATCCATAAAAACCCACAGTTCTGGGCCAGGGATTTAGCTCAGTGGTTCTGCTGCCTACCTTTCAAGCACAAGGTCCCGAGTTCAATCCCCTGTACCAAAAAACAAACAAACAAACAAACAAACATCCACAGTTCAATTAAGGAAGCCCTGAGATTGTCAAGGATGCTCTGCTAAAAGCCATGTCATGTGGAATAATTTTCTGGAAAGTAATTTTGCAAAAATTTAACTAGGGTCCTTTCAAATTTCACTGTCTGTGGGGCCAGGGATTTAGCTCAGTGGTTTTGCCGCCTGCTGTGCAAGTGCAAGGACCTGAGTTTGATCCCTGGTACCAAAATAAATAAGCAAATAAATAAATAAATAAAATTTCACTGTCTAGTGTTACTTTTTAAAGACTTAATAATTCTACTTCTCCAAGCATCTTTCTTAGACCCCTAATCAAAGACATAGAGCAAAGTTTTTTCTGTATGATCACGTTTGTTAAAGGTTGCAGCGTAAATTTAAAACTGAAAATAATATAAAAGCCTAACACTGAATGAAGAATGAGGTAAACTATGATACATTTATATGATTTATTCATTCTGCAAGTACTCATGAGTACTCATGTGTATGCTTGGAATGGTTCTAGGTGCATCAGGTTTAGTAGAAAAAGATCCCCTCTGACTATCACACGTCACTAAAGATCAGATTCCCAAAGAACAGCTTATGGCAAGGAGCTTTGTTAAGAAACAAAACTGTGTATGCAGTGTGATCTTAATTTTGTTTTAAAATGCATTTATCCTCACATTTGCACATATAAGATGAGTAATACACACAAGACAAATAATGATTGCAAATGGTATGATTTCAGATGATTTTCATATTCTTTGTATTTTTGTATTTTCCATTTGTATGTAGAATCATAGTTATTTAAGTTACTTTAATAACATTTTAAAAATGCTTGTAATTTTGTTTAAAATGCTCATAGAAAATTTTAAGTGAAGGGCCAGGGATTTAGCTCAGTGATTTTGTTGCCTGCCTTGCAAGCTCAAGGTCCTGAGTTTGATCCTCTGTATCCCCCCCCCCAATTTTTTTTTAAGTGAAAAAAACCCAAACTAGTCATGTGTAGGGCATTAGGACCAGCAATTAGGTTTTGCTGTGTAAGTAATCAAAGCATGAGAGGAAGAAACCACATAGAAATAGTAATTATCTCTGGGGATTATAAATTCTACTTTGAGTTTCTGAACATTATAAATTTCTACTTTTTGTATTTCATTAGTTTTGTACAATAAGTATGGCTTATTTTTTAAATCAGAAAAAAGTATTAGTATGCTAGATCTTGCGCAGTCTAGAATAACTGCAAGAAATGGAAAGAGTAAATAGTATGCGGAAGCTTTTTATCTTTTTAAAAAATATATTCTATTTTCCCTTCCTTTCTAGTTTGTAAATTTGTTTGTGTAAAGAAGAATTTTCCTGGGCTGGAGATTTAGATCAGTGGTTTTGCCACCTGCCTCACAAGTGCAAGGTCCCAAGTTTGATCTCCAGTACAAAAAAAAAAAAAGAAGAATTTTCCCTTTCTCTGAAGAACGTCTGTTTTGCAGATGTCATTGTGGATTTTTGAATTCTTTTAAAAAATTAAATTGGTTATAACCTATTATACCCTGCACATTTTATTAAATTCTAAGTTAATGTCTTTGTTCACCAGAACCATAAAATCTTTTTTTTTTTTGGTACTGGGGATCAAACTCAGGACCTTACGCTTTTGAGGCAGGCAGCGGAACCATTGAGCTAAACCTCCGACCCAGAACCATAGGATCTTAATGTCCAACTTCAGCTCAAGTGCCATTATAGTATAAGACATTATTTCTGTTCTTTTCTCTCTCTTTGTTTTGTTGTTGAGAAAGAGTGTCACTATGCAGTTCAGGCTGGCCTTGAACTCATGGAGATCCTTCTGGTTCAGCCTCCCGAGTGCTGGGATTACAGGTGTGTGCCACCACACCCAGCACAAGATACTATTTCTATCTTGTTTTCTTTAATCCCACACATTTTTAGCAGTCAACATTTATTTCAGTTTGCCCACATATTTGCCATTATCGTTGCTGGCTATTCCTTTTTGTATCTTGGATGTCCTTCATGTTTCACCTTCTTCCTAGCATACAACCTTTCCTAAGAGTCAGTTGGTACCAAACTATTTCTGGTTGTCTAGAAGTCTCTTTACTTTGCCTTCATTCTTTAATGATAGTCCTGCTAAATATTCACATAAAAATCTTTGGCCTTCCAAGGACCCAACTGTAGTAAACTCTAAGATCATTTAGATAGAGAATACTTGAAAAATAGCATTTAAGAAGCATGCAAAATGTTTTAAAAATTATTTGAAATTTTCATAGTTTTGGTCTATTCACCTAATAAAAGTTAGAATATAAATCGCACTTAACTTATAGCTTTGTAAGTTTAGCTAAATTCGGGCCTAAATGACAGAGGCTGAAAGGAGTGATGTTCCTGAACTGTTCTCCCTAAATAGCAGCATCAGATCAACATCTCCCATTCTCCCTACAGTGTCTGCAGTCAGGGCCCCGACTTGAAATCAGGTCCCTGCAGTCGGTAACATGGACAACCTAGCTAGGACCTAAACAGAATCTTGTCTATTAAAAAACACAACTACCTTGTGCTACTTTTCATTTTGTGTAAGTGTTAAGAAGCGTACAAAATGATGAGTCTTGTCTATGGAGTAATCAGAAGTGGTTACAGTAACAGCATTTGTCCAAGAAAGCAGTTCCTCAAAGACTTCTAGCTGTTTTGTCATCTGGTTCAGAATGCAATCGTATTTTCAGCTAGAAGAATGCTGATCTCAAACCAAGGAGAGGGACAGCTTGTCAGAAGCAGTTTGTTCCCTCTCCCCAGAGCCAAGACTGTTTAGGCGACTTTTCTGCAGATTGTTATCAATATTGTTTAGTTCGGGGCCTGGGATTTAGCTTAGTGGTGCCACCGCCTGCCTCGCAAGGGCAAGGTCTGGAGTTCGATCCCAGGTACTGCCCCCCCCAAATATATATATATATATATATATATATATATATATATATATATATAGCTCAGTTCATCCTTTCATTAAGATACTGCAACGTGGAGTTCTGTAAAGAGATGATTCAGTCTGATTTCCCACCTTGTGTGGCACCCAGGATTTGTCTCTTGTTTACCACAAGTCCGACTGTCTGATGACACTGCAGGCTGTGTCACCTGGGCCCAGCACATACACCTGGAGTGGGCTTTGGTTCCACTTCACACCTCTCTGGGTTTGTGCCTCCCTATCATGTGGGTCTTGTAGGAGTCCTCTCACTTTCTTGCCAGCTCAGCTGTGTATTTAAGGTGTTGTTTTTCAGTGTTCCGCATTTTTAAGTGGTTAGTGCAGAGAAGGTTTCTTAGTTTGTAATATTGCTCAAATTGAAGTCCTTTCCTTCTTATCTTTCTATTTTGAGCTTCTCCAAAGAACCCTAGCAATGTGATCTTCATGAATTTGAGTTCAGTCTGAACAATTGCTGTCACCAAAGGAAGCCCAAAATTCCTTGTAAAAAAGCTTATTTGTATTCAGTTAAGAACTGTTTTCAGATACCTAAGCATAGGAAATAACAGCAATAAGTCAACCCCAAAGTATTGGGGGATAAATGGACTAATGATCTTTGTGTATTTCAGATTTGGCGCAGATACGATGCGGACAGCAGTGGCTTCATATCAGCTGCTGAGCTTCGAGTAAGTGTCACTGGGCGAAGGGGACTGTCACGGTGAAGTGCTGCTTTGTTTATCATTGGGAATTTGATTAATAAAAAACATGAGTTTGCTTTCTGTGGCCCCCCAAAAAATGGATTTGAATTTTTTACATTTGAAACAATGTATTCATGTTTGGAAGATTTACAAAATTCAGGTTACATTGCTGTCTTTGGGAAAGAGGCATAACTGAGCATTTAGAATACTTTTTTTCACCCCAGGGGCCATTTTCTGGGTCCCATGAGTTCTCTTTAAACAGTGATAGCTCTGCAATTATGAATTGATTGCTTGTTAAAAGCGTTTTATTTCCTCCTTGAAACAGACAAACAGGCCTCTAGAGACCTTTGCAGCTTATTTACTTGCTGAATAAATGTCACTTTTCTCTTGATGTCACAGAACTTCCTCCGAGACCTTTTCTTCCACCACAAAAAGGCCATTTCAGAGGCAAAACTGGAAGAATACACAGACACCATGGTGAGTCACAGAGAGTGACTTGCAGGATGGTGGCACTTGGCGGCCTCCTCCAGCCCTTGGGACTTGCTTGTAGACTGAATGAATGCATGAGAAAAACCTCATTGCTGGGGAGCACTGGGTAAAATTGAGCTGTTTTAGCCCCTCTCAACCTCAGGAACAGATTGCATGAAAGCCTCACTTGTTTCTGGGGAAACCAGGAAACTCCAGGTGACATTAGGTTTCTAAGCACCTAGACAGCGACTTCCATGTTAATTAGTCACACAGCAATGAGTAAGCAGGGACCTAGTCTGTCAGACGGACGCTGCTCCCTGCCGACGTAGTGGGTGACTCTCAGCACTGAGTGCGCTGACCTGGAGTAGCGGAAAGTCAGGCAGATGGAAGATATGTGTCTTTCCTCTGCCACTTACTCTATCACCTAGGAAAAGTGTCAAGCTTCTAAGCTTTGTTTACTTATCTGTAATATGAGACCTAAGGGTACCTCATTACTTTGAGGCAAAGGGACTCCATGCAGGTAGAACGCCAAGTTGAGGGCTGGGGATTTAGCTCAGTGGTTCTGCCGCCTGCCTCAAAAGTGAAAGGTCCCAAGTTTGATCCCCGCACCAAAAAAAAAAAAAGAACACCAAGTTGTGTGTGTCTGGGACAGAATCAGTGCACATGTTTGCTCTCCCTGTAGTGCAGTGGTACCGTGAAATTGTCCTTAGTTGGTTTCAGCAGATGCAACAATGAGTATTAAATCGTTTTGGCTGTAAAGGTACAGCCAGTCAGAAGGTAATTGACACTGACAAGTTGTAGCACCAAACAAACATCAAAATGTTTCGAGTACCAAACTCAAGTTTCAAAGCAGTTAAGTACAGAGCTATGACTGTAGTTGTGTCCTCATTGTGAGTATTTCACAATCCTCTCATGGTGCCCTTGTCCCAAAGAAAGCTGAGACTATTTCAGTGTGAAGTTCCCTGCCTTTGAGAACTCGGGCTCATACTCGGTTTTGCTACCTCACACAATGCATTTCTCCCAGCACTAGCCAACAATTCCTGTGGAACTGGCTTCTCCACTTAGTGTCTTCTCATTCCCAGCTCTGCACTTCAGCTCATCAGATCTGCATCTTTTAGTAAGGAAGCAGTGTGCTGACCAAGGCTTAACTGTGTACTTGTGAGATCGTTACAGTTATTATGTAACGGTTCCTGAGCAGACTGATCTCACTGAGCCTTGGGTTGGAGAGTCAGGGGTGCAGACCACTGAGAAGAGAGTATGGGCTTCTCTCACAACGTGAGCCCCTAAGTTGATCGGCAGAGGCTTGGAGCTGGTGTTTCCCAACACTGAAACTCACTTTAAAGGTCATGTGACTAAGAAATGCCAAAGATCGGGCCGGGGATTTAGCTCAGTGGTTCCAGTGCCTGTCTCAAAAGCACAAGGTGCTGAGTTCTATCCCTGGCACCAAAACAAAACAAAAAAACCCTTTGCTTGATCATTTTGGGCTGGGGATTCAGCTCAGTGGTTCTGCTGCCTGGACCACAAGCACAAGGACCCGAGTTCAATCCCTGGTACCAAAAAAAAAAATATGCCAAAGGTATCAGTTGTACTGGAAGCTAACCTGCCCTGGTTTTTAGTCCTGGGCCCTCTTTGCCTTGAAACCTGGACCCCACTATTCTGAATGCTACTTCCTGTCATATGATCTGCCCTGGGAAGGAAGAAAGTGTTCTGGACCATGATCATTTATAAATGCCCTGGATAGGAGAAAGGATGATGTCAAGGGGAGAATTAAATCCCAGGACAGGATCTCAATTAAGGAAGCAAATTGGCTTCTTACTATGTCTATTTTTTTTAATAGCATGCAAAGTGATACTCAAAATCCTGAATAAATACGAGCATGGGACTAAAGGTCAAGTGCAAAGTTCCGCAGAAGGAGGAAGCAGTTTTCTGGTCACAAGATGGGTCACTAGGTCCTTTCGACCTAAGCTGCAGGGAGCCCTGCAATAGAATGAACAATATAAGCAGGAAATTTGATGGAAATAGCCAAAGGCCAGAACAACAGGAGATTCTTTTTCTAGTTGAGCATATTTAATTTCTTAACATTTTAACAATATTTATTTTATATCCTAATTTCTTTCTCTTTTTTTTTGGTACCGGGTATTGAACTCGGGACTTTGCGCTTCCAAGGCAGGCGCTGGAACCATGGAGCCAAATCCCCGGCCCTATCCTAATTTCTTAGTCCTTAATTAAAGTGATACAGTTTTAGGAAATAATTGCTCCCTTCCTTTTTTTGTTGCGCATGTGCTAGCAAAGTAGGAAAAAGAGACTATGAAAGAATAAGCAAAGAATGTAGGAAATGCAAAGATGGGAAAAGAAAAGTGCGTGTTTATATGAACCCTTTTACTTTTATTTTTTTTTTGTTTTTTTTTTTGTTTTTATTTTTTGAACCCTTTTAAGAGAAGCAGTATCAACCCACAAAGTTCTAGGAGGACACTGTAAAGTGTTTCACAGAATTCATCTGGAGCCACATTTAAAACCCACAAGTTACATAGCATGGTAGTGTGGGCTTCTTTTCAGACATCATGCATATATTTTTTTCTCACTTTTCAAGCCGCATAATGACATTGTTCATCAAGCACTGTTAGTGCATTATTCAGCAAATACTTTGATCACATAAATCAACCTTGGTTAGCAGAGGGCAATCAGCTGCCATGTGCAGTTCCTTCTTTTAAGTGAAACAGCTCTATGCTTAGAGCTCTGTGTCACAGGAACTTCTGGAAGTGCACTCCTATTTCAGCTGGGTTTGCAGTGCACCTGCCACCTGACTGTGGATAAATTAAGTGACACCTTGGTTAAAGGTATGTGTATACCAGCTCCTGGTACAATTAGCTAATAGCTCATCCAGACAGTAAATGTAAATGAAAGCTCTTTTAGCTCTTCCCAGTTCCTCTGGAGGTTTTGATCTAAAGTCTTTGGCTGAGTGCCACACAGCAGTAATAAATACTGTGCTTTGAACATGGCAGAATGTGTCTCACAAGAGGCTTGCTCCCTAATTCAACAGCTCTTACAGTTCAGCCTTCTGGAACACCTGCGTGCTGGGCACATTTTTAAACATTGATGTAGCAGAATATTAGCACTGGCTGTTGCTATGTCACTTTTATTCACTTATAAAGCATGAACTATGCAAAATGAATAGATTCACATTTTGCATCTTTAGCTTATTTCCCGTATTTTCTAGCATATGAAGCACTTTGACTTTGAAGGCCTGTCCTCATTCCCTACTAATAATACTAAACTACTTTCTGATTGCTTAATATATTGTAGCTATATTTTTTCCTACTTTTCTTCATCTGCCTCTTGCTCATCCTTCAAGATTCAGTTAGATATTGTCTTGCCCCGAAAAGCTTCTTCCATAGTGAGTCCCAGGATCCCTTCTCCAGGTCCCATTCATTTAATTCCTCCCCCAAATATTCATTAAATATTTACCATGCCTCAGGCACTGTTCAAGTCACTGGGGATTCAACAGGGAGCAAAATTGGCAAAGAAAAGACTGAGGAGAAACAGTATATGTAATAAATAATAAATCATGTTGCATGATAGAGAGTAATGAGTGTTGTGGAAAAAATGGAGTTGTAGAGCCTGCTGGGGATGTCTGTGGTCCAGGGCAGCTGCGGTGAGGGCTGGGGAGAAGGTGTAATTTCCAACAGGTTGCCCAAGGAAGGCAAGAGGTGAGGAAGGACTACGGTAGAGCTAGCACAGGCCAGAGGGCAGACACATTTGAGATATTTTGGAGCAGCGAGAGCCAGTGTGGCTGGAGCAGAGTGAGCAAGGATGAGACTAACCAGTGTCCAGACCACGTTGGGCTTTTAGGCGCTTGTGAGAACTTGCAGCTCTGTCTGGGCAAGACGGGGGCTGCTAGAGGGTCTGAGGCAGAGGATGTCACCATCTGGCTGCTGTGCCGAGAAGAGCTTGGAATGGAACGGACAAGACTGGAATCAAGAGGACTCATAAGCTGCCCTTGCTTCCACCCAGGTGAGAGATGGCAGCAGGGGCCTCCAGCTTGGGATAGAGAAGTTTGTGGGATGGAATTGACAGGATTTGCTGATAGAACATGTGAGTCTGGGATGGCACTGACACAATCCATGTGTGGGTATGGTGCCATGCCAGCCTGTGCCTCCTTGAGGGCAAGGACAGCATCTTTTCTCCATGTGCCAGCCCACAAATGGGCTAGGCACATAGTAGGCAACTTAGTGCAAATTAACTTGAATTTTCCATTCTTATCTAATAGCGAGCTATGACTAAACCATGGCAGAATCTTGCCCTGCACTCCCGTTATAGCTCTTGCTCCCCTGGTTTGCCTGGAAGATTGCAGATTGTACATCCCAGGCTTCACACACGCTGTCTCCAAGTAGTGCCTCAAGTCTGAAATTCCTTTTTTCTTTTCCCTTAAAGTGGACTCTCCCCAGAAAGGGAGCCTGGCAGTGCTGGCGTGCATCCATGTGATAGTCTACTTTCATGGAACATCAACCAGCACATATTCTGCTATTGAGTATTTTAATCATAATAATTGTGTTCACTTTATACTGAGCTGATTTTGAAGCATTTTCAAACATCTCATTTGATTCACACCAAATCACATAAAACTCCCTCTCTACCAAATGAAACTTCCGAGGATTATAGATTTTAACAGGTCAAATGTGTAAAGAGAGGAGTGGAAATTCACAACTCAATCTGCCTTGAAAGCCTGTTTTCCACTGTCACATTCTTGTCTCAATGTTGAAATTTTACGTTGTTAAAAAGAAAATTTTCAAAAGAGGGAGAGCAAGGCTCTACAGACAAGTCGGGAAGAGGACATCCTGGGAAGGGGGCCGGGGATTTAGCTCAGTGGTTTTGCTGCCTGCTGTGCAAGTGCAAGGACCCAAGTTTGATCCCCGATACCAAAAAAAAAAAAAAAAAACAATCCTGGGAAGAAATAGAAGAATCAGGTAATTATAAATCAAGTGAGGGAACCTGGATTGTCTAAATAGCTTTAAATATAAGACAATACAGGAACCACAATAGGATTTATTACCCAGAAAAAAAGATTTTTCTTAGCATAAAGTTCCTAATAATCCAAAGAATTGACAGTTTATTAAACACCAAGCAGAAAACAAATTAATGAAAGGCAATGGGAAATAAAGAACAACACAATAGTTCTGATGAAGACAGAAACTGCCATTCAGCTGGGGAAGGGAGGGGAGAGAGGAGTGAATGGTGCCTACATACAACCCCAAAAGCTCTCATTCAGACAGCCCCCCATCAAAGGAGGGGGCCAGGGAGGAGGCTGTGAGAGTTCAGAAAGTCAGTGCAGTCTCTGGCTTAAAGGACCTGGTGTGGCGTACACTCAGCCTGGCACTCTGAGTTGGTACAGCCATTCTCTTAATAACCTCCAGGCTTAAATCTAAGGAACCACTAATTGGCAGCATCTTGCAGCCGCATGCCCAGAGCTGAAGAAACCTTGTGATGTGTAAGTCTTGATGATGTAGAGTTTAGATCCATTGTAGCATTCTGGGATCAGGGGGATCAAAGAGGTCTTGTCCATTGGCTGAGACATTACTATTATTCTGTGTCTGTTTCACTGCTAAAACATCATAGCTGTTCTGCTCAGGTGTGCTGCAGTTAAACACTCATTTTGTTTGAAATCAACCCCTGGAGCTAGGGCCATGACTAAAATAACTCTCCTCAAGCAGCCCCTTATATCCTCTTTATGCACTGAGATGATTGCTAAGGAAGTCTGCTGAGTCTCTGCCCAAAGATCTGTGTTTGATCAGAAGATGAAATGAGTTTGATTTTGGCCAATCTTTTTCATTCCTCTCTAAGTTGCAGAGGAGGCCATACTTTCCAATGAACAGATTTTAGAATAGGACTACTGGGCTGGGGATTTAGCTCAGTGGTTCCGGCGCCTGCCTTGCAAGCGCAAGGTCCCAAGTTCAATCAATCCCTGGTACCAAAAACAAAACAAAACAAAACAGAACAATAGAATAGGACTATTGATTTTTTAAGGACTTCTTCCTTTTCCCTAGAGAACTTTGAGTGTATTAACTTTTAGAAATAAACTCTTGAAAATGACTTCTACATCCTGAGCTCTAAGTGACTCACCAAGTGTGAAATCACATTACTGCTCCTTTAATGACTTTTTATTGAACAAGGAACACAGTCATGGTAACACTACGTTAAAGCTTTGGTTCTAAGGTTTAGCATAAAATGCTAAATGGATTCAAATTGACCTGAATAAGGATTGACACATTGGAAAACTCCCTAAGTGTGACTAATGAATGAGTCATGCCAAACAGCCAATCAGGAGAGAGAAGCTGAGGTCTCACACATTGTCTTACCCTGATTCCTAATTAATGTTCCGGAAAAGGAAGGAAATAAAACACTGTTGTGATCCTGAAGCAGGATGTGCTGCCAGCAGTGGACAGGGAATGATTAGCTGCCTGGCTAGAACATTATTAGATAATGTTTAGTTTGGTGAATGTAAGCTAATAACCCTGGGAGATGTTAAGTTCATGTACCAAATGAAAGCACAGAACTTGAAATATTGTAAAGCAACAAATTAAATTCTGAGACTTTGACAGACAAAGGGAATTATATGTGGTTATGCTGGCCCCCATTCTGTACCCTGGTCTTGACTCTCATCCTTCCTACCTGGATTAAAGTAGCCACCTCTGGCTTGCTTCCCTCCTAGATCAGGGCACACACCTCTCTGAGCCAGATCAACCTGAGACAGGTCAGGGCTCAGTCCTGAGGTATCTCCTCTTCCTGTGTCTACCGTTGCTCTACAGAGGATATAAACTGTTGTTTGGATTTAAGTCCTAGCTAAAGACTGACAACCTCTAGTGTGTATCACTGGCTCAGACCATTTCTCTGAGCTCCTTGAGTGTGCTTGGGTGTGTATCACCATGTCTAGATGCATCTCAAACTTAGCATGTCTAAATTGACATCCTGAACTCCACTCACAAACCTGCTCCACTGGGGTGAACTTGACCTTTCAGATTTTTCAAGGCAAAACTCTTGAAAGCATCTTTAATGCCTCTTTCTCTATCACTCCATATCTAATCAGCCGATCCTACTGGATACTATATTCGTTCATTTTTTGTTGCTATAACAAAATATCCCCTTTAAGGTAAAAAATAACTACTAAGAATGGTTTCCAAGAACGTTGTTGAATGAAAAAAGCAAGCTGCAAAAGAGTATATAGAATATGGTCCTATTGGCAGTAGGTTCTATCTATTGGTAGGTAGTATGTGTGTGTGCACACATTTTAGAAGTTTCTAGGATACAAGGATTCTTTGAGTGGTCATTACCTCTAGAGTAGGTAAGGGAGGGATATTGTATTCTTCCTGCTGGATATGTGTGTATTTTTCACTTCTGTCATATATCCTACTTTAATGCTCAATTACCAGTTGTTTAAGAAATTCACAGATTGGTTCCTCTATCACTAGACAATAGTTATGTTTTGGTTCTATTGTGTGAGAAACTATCAACTGAAGAGAACTACTACTAATCCAGTAGTGATTTAGGTAAATTTATATTTCACAATAACTATTATGTCTATCAAGATCTGAAAAGTTATAAAGAAACATATTAACCAGTTTAGGGAAAATGCTGGGTAACTCAGTTCCTAAGATATATCTTTCCTGAGAAGGGAACTACCATTCACAAAATTTTAAGGAGTTTGTAAGACATTGTACTCCATTTCTGGGCACACTTATAGTGCTTTCATTACTTAACTTTCTTATTGTTGGGACACAATATTTGACACCCATAACTTAAAAGAGGAGAGGTTTAATTTAGCTCATGATTTCAGGGGATTCAGTCCATGGTCATCTGGCTCCAAGTTAGAAACATCATGGTGGAAAGGTGTGGTAGAACAAAGATGTTTAGTTCATAGTGGCTAAGAATGAGTGCAGGGGAATAGCATCAGAGAGGATGAGGCCAGGGATCAGACATAGACTCTAAGGCTGCACCTTCATGACCCCAGACACACCCAGAAGTGTGCTCTACCAATCTTCTGAGTGGCTCCCAAGCCAATCAAGTTGATGCACTCAAGCTTACTTATCACAGCAACTACTTATAGTTCTACTGGAAATGGTGACCTCTGAGCAAGGGACTGGGAAAGCAACAGTAGAGGTGAGGATGTTCTGTAAGATCCTCACAACCCTACTGCAGATACCCTTCCAAAGGGAATCCTACCCCCAACTGTCATAGCTCTCCAGGAATGAATTAGTGCCAAGAGGAGGAAAAATACTGAGGCCCATGTTTCTTTTAACTCAACAAATTTTGGATGACTACCACACGCAGGCTGTTGTCCCGGGTACTTGGGGCATATCATAGACAAAACAACCATACTGTCTAGCACTTATCAACATTTCATCTGGATCCTGTCTATGACCCTGGACATGTTACCACACCTTTATGCCCTTGTCCTCAGCTGCTCAGTGCAGAAGAAGCAGGCCTATGGGTAATGTGCCTGGTGAACTACATGTAGGTGGTAATGGAACATCCAGCCCCAAATCCCACCCAAGCAGTAGGTGGGGCTGGATGTAGTGTCATGTTTAAGGGACACAATTGGACATGTTGTATGTCCAAATGTATAAAAATATGACCTATGTCTTAAGAGATTCTACGATATAAATGTTCGGTGCCAGTGTTTGGGGAGAATGGGCTTTCAAATTCACTTGAAATGAAAACTGATTTGGAGAGGGAGAAAGGATAGAAGACTAGTGTATTTTTTTAAGGCAAAAATCTGTTAGATATATTTTAAGATTTTTTTCATTGGCTTTTCCCTATGAAGCTTCCTTATATAGATATGTTTAGAGATATTCTGCAGCCTTAAAGTGTTGTGACATCACCAAATTCACTCACATTCCAACTCAGCTCTGAAAATAAGTGCATCTCCTTGATTTTGCCTGAAACAATCTGGTCTTCCCGATTTGTGCTTAGTGAAGACATTTTTAACTTTGAGTGCTGTCTCATGTAAGCAACGTCTGCTCTAATAATGTAATCAGGGACTTTGGGCAATAGTGAGTTTCTTCATGAGAGGAGAAGCTCAGCTCAGTTCCTTGCCTTCATGGAAACATGAAATTTCTTCTTTACACTACAGGGAGTACTTAGGATATTGGACCTCCAGACTTGATTGTTGATATGCTGTGTGGGGGCTAATAAAATAATTAGAAAATCCTGAGTCAAAGCAAAAACCAAGATTTCAAGCTTGTAATCAGTATGCAAAATCCCATTATGCCTTTCAAAAATGGATAGTTACTTCTTATATCTACCAAATCATTGTGGGTTTCTTCCCAAACACATGGTAGGGCTGTACTGCTCACCCCTTTGAAGTTAGGTGTGGCCAACAACTTGCATTGGATGATGACATTTTAATCACTGAGCATTTGCCATTCTCTCTTTTTGCCATGGCAACGAAGAATGTTGACAGAGAGTAGCTACTTTGTCACTCTAAATTTCAGAGTGCAGACTACATGGAGTAGCTCCCAGCCAACCCTGGGTTCTTATATAACACAAGCAAGAAATGATCTTGTATTGTGCTAGAGATTTAGGGGGCTTAGTTACTATGACCATCCTAATACAGAAACTAAGATGCAATTTCCTTTTGTAGCAAATACCAATTTCACCCAAGCAGATACGATCCTCAGCCAATTAAGGCAAATGTGTAATTAGAAGGGCAAAATAAGGAAGTGCTTTACTAACTTTCAGAATGAAATCTTGTTACTAGTATTTCTTGCAACCATATTCCTTTCTGCATTTCAGATGAAAATCTTTGACAAAAATAAAGATGGTCGGTTGGATCTCAATGACCTGGCAAGGTGAGTGGCAACAACATCATGGATTTGGAAACATCTTTCTAGGGGTTTGATGACAAAATGTGTGTCCTTTTAAATTGGAGTTCAAGTCTCCCCTGGAGACCGTAGACTAGGTGCATCTTACCAAGTAAACTGCAGTGGCTCTGAATCTTTTGGGCTAACAGATTCCTTTGTGAAGATAATGAGAGCTCTTTCTCTCCAAATGCACAATATACAAAATTTTCATAAAGTTTCATGAATGGGTCATAAGCAGATTCTGCCCTCTGAGGTCAGACATTCATGGTCCCATATTAGGGTCCATGACAAAACACACTGTGACCCCATTCCCTGGCTTCAGGAACACTGAGCAGTTAGTTCAGGACAAAACTAACAACTGAGGCTAGCTCCAGCTCAGTGCTCTCTGGCCTTTCAGTGCTGGGGTATCCTCAGAGGGCATCAAGTGCCAAAGAGTATTGCAGGAGGAGGAGAAGAGGAGAGGATAAGAGCCAATGAGGCCCCGTGTACAAAAATGCTTCTGTGAGTTTAGTGTGACATGCGGCTGGGCATCACCTTGTGTACCAGGCCACTTTTTGTTGCTATAATAAAATACCCAAGGTAGACTACCTTATAAAGAAAAAAGTGTTATTTAGCTCACAGTTTTGCAGGCTGGAAGTCCAAAGAGCATGACATAAGTCCTGGCAAGGGGCCCTCTGACTGTACCACACCACGTGTGTATCTCTGTGTCTGTGTGTCTCCTCCTTTCTATAAAGCCACCAGGATTCAACATGGGCTCTTATCAAGCCTAATCACTTTCCAAAGGCACCACCTCTAAACAATATAGTTGGACTAAGATTGCACCCTCTTACTTCTGTTAACATAGATCTTGAAATTAAACTTCTGCCTGAGTTCAGGGGTGGGTGAGCTGAGGGGCATCCTTATTTAAACCATAGCAGCATTTTTGTCAAGGCTGACTGCCCCCAAACAACATGCAAGTGTTTGCAAAACAGAAAGAGTCTGAGCAGGTGGTCAGATTTTGGAATCACTGGGTGCAAAATACATGGATATAACTGTAGCCCTATGGGGGAGCAATTGTAAATCCAAGTGCCTCAGGATCAGTCTCGGTGGCAACTGTGAACTGGATGGTGACAGGACTTAGGGTGGCAGCAGATGTAGCCAGGGGAGAGGAATTGCATGGACCAAAGGTCATATTTTCAGTGGCAAGAAGTTAATGTGAGCACGTCACAGCAGGTGTAGTTTTTGTCCGGTAGCAGATACTACCTGCACCAGCTGAGTGTTTTCTTGGCAGCTGCTTATGCCAGGTTTTGAGGGGTCTGTGTGAAGAAAGAAACACCAGGAAGAATCACTCCTTAGCAATGACCATGGCATTGATGCCAGCACACAGATAGACTTCTACCCATGCCTCCAAGGAGCTATGAGGCAGCCGTTGTGTCCTCCACAGATACTTCCCCAGGATTTTATCTTCCACTTTAATGATGAACAGACCAGCCATAAAGAGATGAAAGTGCTTCTCCCAGAGGCCCAAGGCAGGAGGAATCCCGGCCCCTAGTGTTGCCTCTGGCTGGGTCCCAGGCTTTCTTATCTCTTACATTCTAGGTTGTGTCATCTGGGAAAGATTCTGCTAACTTCTCCTTTCAATGGAATGTTTTTGGTACCAGACTCAAACTCAGGACCTTGCACTTTTGAGGCAGGCACAGTGCCTCTGAGCTAAATCCCAGGCCCAGTGGAATGTTTAATCCATATCAATTTAACATAATTAGTGATAAGACAGGGTTTATATTTGCCATTTCACCATTTGTTTTCTTCTTTTCTCTATTCTTCCCTACCACCTCCTTTATGTTAAGTATTTTGTAGAGTGCTCTTTTAATTTCTTTATTTTTTAAGTTATTTTCTTAGTGGCTCCTTGAGGGATTACAATTAACATCTTAGTTTAGGACAATCTAATTTGGGTTTAATGCTAATGTAATTTCAATATTATATTAAAACTTTATTTCTGTATTGTTCAGATCTCTCCCTCCTCCTTTGTGTTGTTCAAATTATGTAATTATAGACCTATCAACATAGATTTTTCTTTCTCTTTCTTCAGCCCTCCCTTCCTCCTTCCCTTCTTTCTTTCCTTTCTGCCTTTCTCTCTGTCTCTGTCTCTCTCTGTTTCTCTCTGTTTCTGAGTCTCTCTCTCAACAAGATCTCACTCTGTTGCCCACACTGGCCTGAAACTCCTGGGCTCAGGGGATCTTCCTGCCTCAGCCTCTTGAGTAGCTGGGACTCCAGTCATGCACCACAATGTCTGGCTCACAGATTTTAATTATTGCTTTATGAAGCTGACTTTTAGATGAGATAGCAAAAAAAAAAAGTTACAAAGAAAAATACATTTATGTTATCTTTTGTATTTGTTTATATGGCTACCCCTACTGGGATTATTTCTTTATGTGGTTTCAAGTTTCTGTCTAGTGTCCTTTCATTTCAGGCTGAAAGACTACCTTTAGTTTTTATTATAGGATATATTTATTAATGATGATGGTTTTTGTTTTTTAATTACTTAGGAACATTTCTAAACTAATTCCATAAAGTCTGTATTCTTTGTTATGATCTCTGCTCACCCCAATGCTCAGTTCATGATTGGACAGAGATTTTAAATGCCCAGAACCAATAAGTCTCCCAGACTTTCCTAAGGGGTTCTGTGTACGTGCTGGCCCAAGTCAACTGCCATGATGTTCATTGTTATTACCAAGAGTCAGCCATTTTGTTTTTTGTTGTCCTGTCTTTCTGTTCAGAATAAGCACTCCCCCAGATTGCTGCAATACTTTATTTTCTAGAGTTCTGCAAAGTTATTCTGATCATTCTTTCCCTTTTTCCCATGGCTTTTACAGAAGAGGAAATTTTTGCAAGCTCATACTTTGCCATTTTCCACTAAGTTGAATTTTTAAGCATCTCTCTATGGTAACTAGTAATCTCTATGAAAACTTTTCTCCACTAATCTGTTTCTATGATGTAGGAATTCTGTATTTCAAGCACCTATACTATTCTCCAGGGTAATCTGGAAGACACTTATTCTTCCCCCACATGCTATAAATTTGCTTGTAAGTGCGAGCTGATAGATCATCATGTGAATTTTATTTATTTTTTCCTATTTAGGATTCTGGCTCTTCAGGAAAACTTCCTTCTCCAATTTAAAATGGATGTAAGTAGTGACATTCCTCTAGATGGGTTTATATCATTTTTGTTTCTCTGTGGATTTGGGAAGAAAGGAAGAAAGGAAGACAACCATTGTCTTTGTCTTAACTAATTTAGAGACTGACAAGGTTCAGATTGGAACCCAGGGGTCTTAAGGGTCATTGACTCAGTTTATAAAAGTTGCCCAAGACCTTGGAAAAACTGTATAGTGCTAGGTTGACAGAATGTTTTCTCCACACACAGGCCAGCTCTACTGAAGAAAGGAAGAGGGATTTTGAGAAAATCTTCGCCCACTATGACATTGTAAGTGTGTCTCCTTGTGTCATGCTGGCTGTCATCACATGGGCAGCCTGCTTCCCCCCTGGGCAGGGTCATCCCACTAGAAAAGAGAGATCTCACATGGGTGTTGCTAGGTCAAGCCACCCTCAACTTCTCTAGATGATTTCTGAGAACTAAGTGAAAATGAACAAAGAAGTATTTATATTAGAAAAGAAAAAAATCACAATTAAAAATTTTTTTTCTTCTTGTATTGAAACTAAGCAAAAGTTTTCACTTCTTGTAGGACTAAAAGCCATTTATGATAGTACTATGCTCAAAAACAAAAACAAAAAAATCCCAACATCCAACCCAAACAAAGAGAGGCAAGGCCGTACTTACTTGGCATAATAATAAGAATATTTCTCTGTTGGATCAGCTATTTAGTCATTCTTCAGAGGAGAGAAAATAATAATTCTAAAGCATCAAATTTGATAGAGATCGCATTTTTTGAGAACAAGGTAGGATAATGTGATAAAAAAGAAAAGAAAAACCAAGCAAAAAGTTAGGAAAGATCCTAAGAAATAGCTTCCTGAAGTTGATCAGACTAAATGTCTGTGTCATATTCTGAATAGAGAAGGATATCACCTAAGGAAAGCAGCACAGCGTATTGTTTCTGTGACCAACCATGCAGGTTTGAATTATGGCTTATCAGCCAGGTGACCTTGGTAGGTTCCTACATCTCTGTAGTGTCCCTGTGCTTTGTTTTCATTATCTGTCAAAGTAGGGTGGGAAAGATAGCTGTAATATCTACCTAATGGAATTGTCCTAAGAATTAAAGAATTTATGTTTATAAATTTTGACAAGAGTGCCTAACCTATAGCAAATACTATACAAGTGTTTGGTATATACACTATGGGAACAGAATGTTTAAAACAATATGCTAAAGGTATAATATTATGAAAAAATGTTCAACATCACTGGTCATTCGAGAGATGCAAATGAAAACAATGCTGAGATTCCACCTCACCCCAGAAAGAATGGCTGCTATCATGAAATCAACCAATAACAAATGCTGGCTGGGCTGTGGGGAAAGAGGAACCCTGCTCCACTGATGGTGGGAGTGTAGACTGGTGCAACCACTGTGGAAATCAGTATGGAGATACCTCAAAGAACTAGGACTGGAAGTCCCATTTGACCCTGCTATTCCACCACTGGGGATCTTCCCCAAAGAATTAAAAGAATCATACCACAGTGATATATGTGCACCCATGTTCATAGCAACACAGTTTGTAATAGCTAAAACTTGGAAACAGCCCAAGTGCCCATCAACTGGAGACTGGATAAAGAAAATGTGATTTTTTAAATAAAATGGAGTACTACTCAGCCATAAAGAATGAGAAACTAGAGACATTTATAGCTAAATGGATGCACATTGAGGTGATACTCTTAAGTGAAATAAATAGGACACACATGTATAAATACAGAATAGTTTTTCTGGTGTGAGAAACTGAAAGTGTAAATAAGGACTAAAATGTATAATAGGTAATGTGAAATAGGAAGAAAAGGGGCAAAGCGGAAGGAAGTGGGAGGGGTAAGGGAAAGGAAAGAAGGGAAGGGAATTAATATGAGAAAATGGAAAAATAGGAACAAAATCTTTGTAAATAGGGAGGAATGGAGGGGTTGAAGGGAGGGCTGGGCAAGGGTGAAAAATAAGAACCAAGAGAGATTATGTAAAGGTGCAAATTTCCAATGATGAATGTCATTACATTGTATACCTAAAATGTACCAATGATTAGAATGAATAATTAATAATGCAAAATAGGAAGAAAAGGTCCAAAGTGGAAGGGGTAGTGGGGGGGTGGGGCAGGGGAAAGGAAAGAAGGGAAAGGAAAAATGATGAGAAATGGAAAAAATGGAAATAAAATCTTTGTAAATAGGGAAGGGTGGAGGGTGTGAAGGGAGGGCTAGGAATGGGGAAAAAATAAGAACCAAGATGCATCATGTAAAGGTACAGTTTCCCAATGAGAAATATAATTGTGTTGTATACCTACAATGTACCAATAAAAGAATTTAAGAAAAAATAAAGGTTTAATATTAAGAAAATATGAAGAAAATAAATGAGCTTTAGAGAAAAAATTGCAATATTTTAGCATATATTGAATTTTGTAGATTTTTGTGTTTGAGAGGATTATAAAATGGATAGAATAAAATAAAGGGCCTTATATACCAACCAAATGATCATTCTAATTTACTTCTTCAATATAGTTTCCCTTGATTTAAAGTCTAATTTTAATAGTCACCAATCATTTACTGAATCATAAAACAGAATTTAAACATATCAACCTCTCCTTCAAAGGGTCAATATAATGGACAATTAACAACTTATCTGAATGGAAGTGTAATATTAAGGAAACAAAGTCAGCCTTTGTCATATTAATGCTATTTTCAAGAGCCAAGGAACTCAAAACTATTGTCTCTTGTTCAGTCACATGGAATTACTTACAATTAATTCTTTTAATTCATGTAGAACATTCACGTTCTGCATGGAGGACCTCCTTTGGAGCATGCCCTTTCTAAGTCAGCTTGCAGTTATAAAAGAACACTGATTTGGTGGATTTGCCTAGCAAATGATATTCTGGTGATTGGATCTTTTTATCTTTCAGAGCAAAACTGGAGCCCTAGAAGGCCCAGAAGTGGACGGGTTTGTCAAAGACATGATGGAGCTGGTCCAGGTGATTTCTGGGGCTAAGTAGATTATTCCCATCATGGGCCCAGGTCCCTATTTTGATGGATTCCATTGTTTGTGGGAACCAGTGAGGCTACAGGTTAATGTCAGAGAAAAATGCTAGAATATGGTCTATTTAAGACCTTTGAGATTCTGTGCAACTCAACAAATCTCCCTTGCTTTCCTAAGATTGAGTTTTAATTACACAAAGTCATTAGAGAAGCATATTTTTATCAGCACTGAAAAGTCACTTACTTCATCAAAATGATGAGGTACCACTTTACATCTTATTGTTTTATTTTTCAATTCCAGAAAGTCCTTTCCATCCTTCTGATTTGGTTATTAGAATAATTAACATTTTAAATTTAATTTCATGTAACAAATCTCATATTTGAGGTTCTAATTTCTTTTTGCTAGGGCCTTTCTTAACACCTCCCTTGAGGTGGCTATGCTACTTATGTTACTTAAGAGGATACTTAAAATGTTGCCAGGTTTGGAGCTGAAGTAATTTAAGTTATGTTTACTTTTCACAGCTGTTTTATGTTGAGGAGACAATGTTTTAAAACAGCATCTCCTGAGCTCCTTCTGAACTGTATTGCCTGGATGCATAATCTGGTTAAACAGATAATTTCCAATCCTTTGCCATGAGGCTCTGTTTATACAATGAATGTAATATTTTGTATCCTTGGGGATTTTACCTTTGTGTCCTGGTCTGCCCAGACAACAACAAATTAGAGTAGCAATTATGCATTCCTGAATTTTTTGCAAATCTGAATGAAGCTATGTAGTCATGCCATAGAAAAATGTTCAGATATCAATTTTTGCATAAATCTCCAGGATGTTCACTGCAGTAAATGAGGAAACACAAATAAAATTCTTTCTGATGACTAATCAGGATGATGGAACCATCTTCTGTGATTCCTAACTTGTGCTATTTCCATTTTAACTGGGCCCCTAGATTTGCTTTCTGGACTTAGTTATCTCTCATGTTGGAGGTGCCAGAATAATTGATAGATATTTGTGTAGTGTTTCCTTTTGCACTGATTGCTAATGAAAATCCCATTTTAGTCTTTGCCTATTTAATGCCAAAATGACTTCTGTTATAGGAACTGAGTAGGTATCTATGGGGATATTAGAGATGTAAGGCAGAAGGATTTGCTAAACTTGAGTTTAATTTGTTTTTAATGCCATGAATGGGATGGGAAGACTGCTTAGGAGAGCTGTCTGGCCTCCTCTGCCCAACAGAGCCAGGGCCAGGATTTCTTTAGTGTAAGTCTTGGGGCTTCACATGCTTGCAGACCCTGGGCAAAGAGCCTGGCCTCCTGAGCCTCCCCATGTTCTGCACATGCAGCTGAGCAGCCAGTGCAGATGCCCAGCCAGGTGAGCAATCCATCATTAATGGATCTTCCTTCTTTACTATCCCTTTTTTGCTGTTCTATCTCAAACTTGTTAAACAAAATTTTCCCAATCTAAGATGTTACTGTTCCCTTAAAGCTTTTCTGGTATCCCCTCTGCCAGGCTATGGGAGGCAGCTGGACAGCCAAGCAACTGGGCTCTCGCTGAACTGAAATCTGTCAGAGACACAGAATTTGGAACAGAGGCTCCAAGCAGCCCTCATGATGGCCGTGTCTGAACCTCTTTTCTTTTATCACCTCATTATTCTCCTTTTCTTTTTCCATGAAAAGAGTGGATTGGAGACATTTTTGCAAATGAGAGAGTATAAAATGCAGGAGAGGGTTTTGGAGTTGACAGATCTGAGCTTTAATTCTGTTTATTTAATTTTATTTTTGGTACCGGGGATTGAACTCGAGTCCTTGTGCTTGTGCAGCAGGCAGCAAAACCACTGAGCTAAATGCCCGGCCCTGAGCTTTAATTCTAGATCAAGTTCTTCAACTTCTCTGGAACTTGAATCCTTGCCCATAAAATGGGCACAGTGGCATCTGCTTCCCAAGGTTGTATGATGACTAGGAATAATGTAGACACAGATCACAGTTACAATGAGATTTCCAAAAAAATAAGTCTTTTTTATTGTATCAGAGCAAAACAGCTGTAATCTTTAGAGTCCATTTCTGAGGCTGAAAATAGTTTAGGTTTGAGAGGGAGGAAGGAACCAGCAGCTCAAAGCATGGCCCTGCCATTCTAGTATTTCTTTCTGAAGTAATAATGTAAAGAAGGCATGCAAAGAGAAGCTCCTAAGAGATAGACATGATTATGTTAGATGGTGATTAATTTACCTACTTTAGAAGTCCTTGTTTTAAAACATTTGCTGTCTTTATGATTATAAAAGTAGTGCTGGACATTGTAGAAAAATATTGAAAATAAAGGAAAACAGAAGTTACAAAGCCAAGGAGAATTTAGATTAAGGATCCAGGTTCTTGACTGACCACCCTGGATTCTAGGCTTGGTTTTACCACCAAGAGGTGCTGTGACCCTAGAGGAGTCGTTTAACATTTTCAAACTTCAGCTTCCTTCTCTGGAAGATGGAAATGTCATAAATCACACATCCATTAAGAGGTCAGGAAGATTCTAGGATAAAATCTACGTAAGTTCACTAATATTGTGCTACTTCACTGATGATTACCCTTAATAATAAACTGTTACCAAAAGCCCAGTAAATACTAGTAATTGTGACTATATCACAAATCAGTCTGTTAGCTAACATAGTTCTTTAAACTTCAATGACCATGATCTTTGCCATTTCCATATGACTTTTATAAGAGAAAGTTCAGATATCTATATCCAGTATAATTTTGCTGGATTCCCTTTCAAAAATCATCACTTTTGAACCTAGATAACCATAATCATTTTCAATGATCCTGCCTTTCAGCTGTCACTGAGTTTGGCCAAAGTTTCCGAAGGATGACAGGAGAAGATGGAACTAAAATCCATACCAGAAACACAGTGGACGAGAGATTATTTACATAAAATTAAGAGAAGGGAAAAATTCTAGACCACACTCAAAAATATCACTGGAAGCAGAGGTCAGCCTGGCTTTCTGGAGACTTGTGTCACACCTGTGGGAAATCAGGAGTGCCTCCACTCTTGTCCTGGCCTCCCCGTTTCTGTGGGGCTGCAGAAGCAGCAAAGGAGGCCTCTTTCTGTGAGTCCCGGCCAGTCTAAGGCCTGAGTCAGACTGCTCAGTAACACAAAAGCAGTTGACAGGGCTCTCCAGGTGATTTGTTGAGCCAAAAAAAAAATGTACATAGGAGTCAATAAGGCAATAAGTGTTCTCTGAAGTCAGATAGCTGAGGCTACAAACCTATATTGTATCTTTTTTAGCTTTTATTGGATCTTTTTTAGTCTTTCAGATTTCTTAAAAAATATTACTCTGTAATTTGAAGGGGATGGCAGAGAGATGACCATAAGTTGAATCTGATGTCCTTGTGATTTTTTTCTTTATTTTCTTTTTATAAGAAAGAGCCATGAGACAAGTAAACAACTAATATCTGGAATTTAATTTAAAAAGCAACTATCAGAGCATGCCATGGAGTCAGCAGGGAGCTGGCCCAGTTTCTAAGTTTGTAGTCCTGGGTCAGGTTTCTTGATTTCAGTAATAACCCTGAAGCAAACCTATTTTATACCCTTTTAATTTTTGGACAACCATATTTTATGCATCTATCGACTTTGCATTAACAAGATGATTTGGTTACCAGAACATCTTATTTCCCACCATAGGAAAATAGTGCCTAAGTCTGTCCTCTGCCAGTGTGATGAGATTGCAAGTCACTGAGCGAACAGACGTAGTTTTAAAAAAAATCACTTTATTGAGATACAATTGACATTCAAAAAGCTGTAGATATTTAGTGCTTGGAGATAAGTACACACCCATGAAGCCATCTTCACCATCAGTGCTGCAAAGTTATCTTCCACCTGCAGGTTTCTTCATGCCCTCTTACTTATTGTTTCTGTTTCTATTCATTTTCATTTCGCCTTTGTGGTAGGAGCAGTTGACATAGCATCTATTCTCTTATCCAACTTTTAATACAGTGCAGCATTGTATAACATTTTACATAAGTTTGTTTGTTTATTTGTTTGTTTTTGGTACTACAGATTAAACCCAGGGCCTTTGCACTAAACTACATGCCCAGCCCTTTCTTTCTGGAGCGAGCACATCTTTTCGGTTTTCATTTTGAGACAGGGTCTTTGCTAAGTAGCAAAACTGCCCAGGCTGGGCTGGAACTTGAGATCCTCTTGCCTCAGCCTCCTAGAGTGCTGGGATTATAGGCATAGGCCCCCAAGCCCAGTTTACACAAGCTTTGGCTCATTTGGCACAGCATAAAAACTGACAGAATCTACAGCTTCAACCAGAAGTATCAAGCCAAGAAATTCAAGATCTTCCAGGGAGGAGAAGTGGGAACATTAGAAGCCAAATAAACATGCAGCCAGAGATGACTCAAATGTCTGACCAAGGTAATGAGAGGCCCCCACCTCCACCCCCCCGGCCAGGCCTCTCCAAAATTCTCCCTTCTTTCCCTGCTCTTGACAGAAGGATGACTGGCAAAAGGGGACAATACCTACCCTAGAGGCTCAGATCTAACATGTGTCCTCCAAAGCTAGCCCTTAGAATACCTGCTACTTTTTACTTATATTTTCCTTTTTTTGGAGACAGGGTCTCACTATGTAGCTCAGGCTGGCCTCCAAGTTGGGGTGATCCTCCTGCCTCAGCCTCCCGAATGCTGGGATGACAGGCATGTACCACTATGCCTGACTTACTTTTTACTCTCTAAATTTTAAAAATTATACATACATCATACAGAAATTTTTTTCATCACACACACAAAAGAAAAAATAACAGGGAAATCTCTACACTCCACCAGACTCACTGTGAAGTGACTTTTCTCCCATGTATATTTTGTATATAGTTGAGACTGTACCAAACTAACATTTCCTATTAGCAGCCATGCAGTGACCTATTCAAGCCCCTGTGGATGCATTGCAATGCAGGTAACATCCCCCTTGCCAGTCACTTGGGCTGCTTCCTGTGTGTAATTGAAAATGGCACTGCCCATAAATCTTTCTCTATATCTGGCCTATTACTAAGTGAAGGGGTTTGTACACATTAAAATTCCCTCCACTCAGATTTGAGCAAGCTTTGGAAGAGGAGGTGTGTGCCCATGTCCCTCTTGGTCCTCTCTTCCACCTTGACTCGCCCTCCCTTCACTACCCAGAAAGCTCTGGCTTTGCTAGGGCCAAAGCCAGTAGATCAGGAGAGACAGCAGCCTGGGCTCCCCAGGTGGATGAGCAGAAGAAGAAGGCCATAGAGTCACAGAATGCACATCTAACAAGGCCCGTGGGTGCCTGGGATGGGTGGTGGGAAGGCATCAGCATGGCTACGGAGGGTCTTCCTGGAACTCCTTGGGTGACGGTGCGGTTGCCTGTGCCACCACGCTTCTGCACTTTCCAGCTCTCAGCAGGTACCTCCACTACACCTGCAAAGGCACCGTGAAGGAGTCCCTTCTTGTCACTCTATGGCAGTGGCAGGTGACAATCAGAAGAAACATGGGACAGGACTGGCCCTGGATGTGAGATTTATAATCAATGTTTTGGTTTTCCTTATCTGAAGAGAGCCGGAATGTGTGGGGTAAAGGAGATACCTACCCAACCGTAATAGGGCAGGGTCACTCAATGCCACAGACAGGGACAAGCCCCCAGTTCCCAGGATGCAACGGGGTGGATGAGCGTTTGTCAGTTATCCCAGACGCACCCCCACATTTCCCCATTAGAGGAATGAGAACATAGTTATATTTTTATACTAGAGGCAATGATACATTGTAGGCCTGCCTGCCTGAATCTGTATCGTGCTCCTGGCATGGGACAGCTGTGTGACAAGGGGAAGTTGATTCCTCTCTTTGTACTTTAGTTTACTCATCTATAAATTAAGGTTGAAAGTAGATACAACCTCCTGTGGTTGCTCTGAAGATTACAGGTAGTAGGTGCAGCATGCATAGGTCAGGGCCCCACACCCACTTACGTTGAGGGGTTTTATTAAGACCGAGGCCCTAATGACGCGGCGATTTATCTTCAGTGATGCACAAAGTTTTGAGCAGTGGTGTCCAGTTTTCATAGTGAGTTACCCAGCATTAAAAACATAACTCAGAAAGGAACTTCCCTTCCATCCTTACTCCCTACTCTACCCTTACCTCTGCCATTTGCACACCAAAAATATTTCTTATTTGAAAGCAGTAATTACTTTGGCAGCAAACAGCCTAGTATTCTTCATTTAGGGTAAAAAATAAAGCTTGGAGTAGTTTGAATGAGGTAAATACAGTGGCAAATTGACTCATGCTACTGTGTAAATGACTATCACTGAGTCTTTTCTAAGAGGAGAGTGAGGATTGGGATCCTGGGGTGGGTACCACTTATTGGAGAAAAGCTGTAGCAACAAGTTACCTAAGCTGCTGAAAACCAAACATCCTCACTTTGCAGCTGTCTAACAAATGAGCTCCTAACATGAGGTCTCAGAGTTCAGGTTGCTGTTTTCAGGACACCAGCCACATCTCCCTGGGCCCCACTGCACCTGCCTGGTGTTGACACCTTGCGTACCATCCTTTGTGGGCCCAAAGACAAGAACAGGTTGGCAATGTGTTACATCTCGGCTCCGCAGCCTAATCATCCAGAGACCTTGCATGGAGGAGGGGAGTGGCCCCAACTCACCTTCAGGCCCCAAACCCTTTCGCCTCCGCCTCCCGGTGCGTCTCTGAACCCTGCCCTGCACTAGTGATTGCTCTTCCTCCTGTGCCATCTGCTCCCACTTCCTGCTGCGTTTTCCTTCTTCCTCTGCAAAGCCTGCAATCAGGGACAGACTTGGTGTCAGTTATTTCCCAGTTGCAAGTGCAAATCATCAAGTCGAATGTGGCTGACTAGTTAAGTCATAATGGAGGTTTTCCCCCTACTGAGGATTTTTCAGAGGTTTCTTTGGAGGTGAGAAATTTACAGGGGCCAGGTTGGGGGATGGGGAGTGTGTCTCAGAGCCCCCAGACTAGACTTTTGCAGGCAGCCATTGTTCTCTGTTCACTCATAAAGCCAGGCCAGGAATCAAGGGCCTTGGCAACTTGACTGGCTGGGTTTTGCTTTATAGTTTAGATCCACCGCTCCCAGCAGGAGGCCGGCCTTCCTTCAGGTGGGAAACGGTGGAATGATCACTTAATTGGAGTCAGAAACCTTGGAATAAAATGTGCTGCCCCAACTCTCTAGCTCTGAAGTTTGCTTAAGCTCTCCTTGGGCCTGTGTCCTAAGCTGTCAGAAGATGTGTCATTATTCACCTCCCTGGGTTACTGGGAGGATTAAAGGAGAGCTCCCAGGGAGAACCAATTAGTTCAGGCATTGCTAACTTTGGCAGCCTTTGCATGGGCTTACCTCTTTTCCTAGCTCATAGGCACCACAATTCCTTCTTAGCCCCTCAAGTTTCCCTTGGTAAAAATCCTAGGTCCCTAGCTCAGCACCATGTTTTAGTTAGGTATTCATGCTGTATAACCCTTTTAACTGGAGGCAAAGAAACACCCTTAGGGAGCTAATAAATGTGTCCTCTCATTGGTGCAAGCAAGGAAGAATTTGTGAGCATGGTTCTCTACTTTGAGGCAAAATGTCTTTATTTCAGTTGCTAATAAGACATACAGTCTTTGAGAACTAGAGGGAAGCGATATGGAAATACTGGTAGAAGTCTTTTATGCCTGGAGGGACAAGCTGAGAAATGAAGCTGTTGGCACAGAAGTTGCCCTTAGCAACACTGGGTGGGAAGGGGAGGCAGGATAGGTCCCTCCCCCCACAGACAGCAGGGCACTCTCTAAGTTTAGGCAGCAGACAAGGGTGGGAGTGCCACTGCCTGGCCTGCTGACAGGGTCCTTTTCTCATCCCCAGCCCAGCATCAGTGGAGTGGACCTTGACAAGTTCCGGGGGATCCTCCTGCGTCACTGCGATGTGAACAAGGATGGGAAAATTCAGAAGTCTGAGCTGGCTTTGTGTCTTGGGCTGAAAATCAACCCCTGATCTCCACATGCTTTGCCGCTCACACTTGTCGTGTTTCTGTGCTCTTGCTGTTGGAATTGTGTCAGTGCTTTGCCGCTTGGGACCCAGTGGGCAAACTTTTCCATCAAAGCTTGGTGTTCTCAGGGGAGCGAGGGACCCTAAGTCCCCTTCCAGTGGCAGGCGTGGTCCTGCCTCACCGAAACCCCCAAGCAGCCACTGAGTCCTCTTCCCCTTGGCTTTCCAGTCCCCCACAAAGACTCAGTGACCTGTTAGATCTGCTCTGCTCCTCTTCTCTTGCCACCAGGTGGCAGGGACAGCGTGGTCCATCCATCCCTGCTCTTCTCATGGGCTTTCTGCTAAGTCCGAGTGTGTGTGACATCTGTGGCAGTTCTGTAACTTCTGCAAGTAGATTGTTACATGGAAATAAATCTGCAGTTGAAAACAAAGATGTACTGGTAATTGCTTTTGTGATCTCTGAGATGTTCTCCCTGATGGCTTGAAAGAAAAAACACTAACTTGGAGAGGGTAGAGGGAGAGAGTGAACCCAGAGAACAGCATGGAGGCAGATGTTGCTTGTGACCCCTTTTTATCAGACAGGAGAACAGAACACTCATCCTGGACTGGGTTTTTTGTTCTTAAGAGCTTGGTTAGCACACAAAAATTATAGAAGAAATGTGAAGAAAGCATCTCCCAGGTAACTCAAACACCTGCTCCCTATGCCACTCTTCCCCCCACAACCATGTCCTCTGGCGAATCTGGAACCACCGAGGCTACTCCCACACCCGAACACCTACTGTGGGCCCCAGTGCATGCCCCTGGTCCACTGAGCAACCCTGCTCACTTCTCTCCGGGGACTCTGACCTGGTCCTGTGACCAGGGGCTGCTTCCTCCGGCAGAAGAGGGGCTGGGAGATGGATAGGGACTGGGCCTCACTGTACTTCACTCACTCCTGACACTTCCTTTGCCATAGGTCTCTGCCCTGTTTCAGACCTGGCAGGAACTTTATACTTCTGAAAGTATTCTAGATGATTCAGAAAGGTCATTGATTAGGAGCTGTTCCTAACCCAAGGATTCCACCATTCGGAGGGATCCCCTCCTAGGCACTCACTGGGCCTAATCTGATTCTTGTCTGCTCTGAAGTGTTAAGTATTTCCTGTGTGCCAGGTACTTCTCAGAGCCTTCTATACCTTAAGCAATTTACTGGTCAGTAAATCCCTTTGATGTAGGTACTGTCATGACATCCATCCTAGAGATGAAGCAGCTGAGGCAGAAAGAAGCTAAACATGCCCGTTTTCATACTTCTCAGAAGTGGTGTCTGGGATTCCGTGTTTCTGTTGCCCACATTAATTACAGCCTGTTTTCCTGGACCTTTCAGAAAACCTCAGACCTCCGCACAGTCTGACCTCTTTTGGGTCCATGAGGAGGACATTTCTCCAGGTCTGTGTCCTCCATCCTGGCTACACTTCACTGAATCCAGGAAGCAGTGGAGAGCGGGCAAACATGCCAGCTGCCTCCCATAGTGCCGGCTTCCAAGGATCCACGCTCACTTTCAGAGTTGAAACTGGCAGAATCCACAAGAAAGGAAGAAAAATCCGTCTCCAGAACATCTCATTGTTTTGCAGAGCATTAATTTCTCCTCTTACTCCCTGTTTTATTGTTGTTAAATAGCAGATGCCCTTTACTGTAGTTGGATTTATTTTGTTTTTATTGCAACACTTTGATTTTTGGTTTGAGGAAATCCTCCTCTATATGTCACAAAGCATTTTCTCCTACTTCTACTTTCTTTTTTAACTTTTTAAAATGTGCCATTTTATCCATTTCATCTGTCTACACATCCATTCCTCATCTGCACAGTAAGATTCCTGACACCCAGGGAAAAGGATGTTGTATGCTGAGGCTTTTAGAACACTTCTGGCCAGCCACCATTCAAATGCACAGCAGGTCAAATCAGTGACAAAAGTTATTTTTAAAATGCTGGTCACAAACACGACAAGGTTCCTCCTGTAGGATGTAGCTGGACCTGAGGTCCTCCTGGGCTCCAGCCTTGTAGGCCAGAGTGGGCAGCAGCAGGTACCAGAAAGGCCCAGAGTGGGAGGCAGGAGCCCTCACTTCTTGAAACCAGATTCTGGGGATGAAATTCCTTTTCAGCCATGGAAAGAGGCTGCGGGTGCTACTGGACCTAAAGCTCATGAGTGGCTCATCCCTCTATGAGCTGGGCGGAAGCTGACCCAGCTTTATAACCTAGGCCTGTGGCAGGTTGCCCAAAGCTCCACAAGGCAACATTTATCCCAGTATTTCCAGAGGAGACAGTCCAAGGTCCCAGTCCCAGTGCAAGATGTGGGATCTGAACCACGGTCCTGAGCCCAGTGTGATGCAAGCATTAAACCACTGGGCAGGGGGGTGGCAGTTATTCACACAAGCCTGCAAGCTAATTCTAAAGCTCAATGAGGAAAGTCACACGCTCTCAGCATGGGAATATATGGAATCCTAGACCTGGTCAATAGAGATAAACCATACCAGACACCTGACAGTGAAAATCTACAAAACAATGATAATTACATTGTTGTATTAGTTAGGATTGTTTAGAGGAACAGACTCAGTAGAAATATAGGTACAGTTATACAAGAGGAGGAACCAGGTAGGCTTACAGGGTCAGTCAGGAGAGTCCACAGAGAAAGCCAGTGCCTTGGGAGCCTGAGGATGCTTAAGCTGTGAAACCCAAGAAGACAGAAGCAGTAGAATGAGAAGGATCAAAGATGCAGCACCAGTCTGAGGTAGAAGGCAACTCTTGTGTGGGAAAGCTTAAGAAACTGGAGACTGATGTCCAAAGGCATGGCAGCAAACAAGAACCATTCAAGACACTAGAGCTCTTCACAGTTGGGCACACTTTTTACTTTTCCGTTTTAGTCCATATAGGCTACAAGCCTATTGGGTGGTGCTATCCGCATCTGGGGTAGGTCTTCCCCTTCAGTTTGCTGGCCTACCTGTCAATCAACCACAGACACACCCAGAACTCTGCTCTACTAATCTGCTGGGCAGTCAAGTTGACAAACCATAATTAATAGTCAAAATTGTCAGTAGATTCTTATGAGCAAAGCCAAGTGATAACAGAACGGAACATTTCCAGGTAGTGAAGGAAAATAACTGTTCATCTAAATGCATTACCTCCCTAAATGATCTCTCAAAGTTAGGGTGAAATAATTCACATAGACACATATGTGGAGTCCTTTCCCCATTCTCTTCATACATTATTTTATTTTATATTTTTATCTGAGCTGCTGGGCATCAAACCTGGGAATTTGTGCATGCTAGGGAAGCACTCTGCCTCTGAGCTATACTTCTAGCTCCTCCTCCTCATATATTCTTAATGAAAGAACTCAGAAAGGATGTATTTAAGCAAAGGATAAGTGAGTCCAAAAGGAATTGTGGGATGCATAAACTGTATTGAACATAGAAAGTGATTTAAAAAACCTAACATGTAGAGGCCAGAGATTTGATTAAAAATTAATTTACAAGAATGTTCAGAATTAGCCATAGTAGATAAAATTCTATAAACAATGAAAATGGCCAAATGTAAGGAGGTAAGTTATGCTGCACCTATAATATGAAATCTTTTCATATTACATAGTGATGGAAATGAGATTTTTAAATAAATAAATGAGATGTTTTATTTTTGTTTGATGATTTCTTAGTCTTGTCTAGTCCTAATGGTATAATACCACTATTCTGATTAATTGGAAAAATAAGATTAGATCATTTTCAATTTTTTCAAAACTCCTGACATCTGCTATGCCAAGCTTTGTAGAACTTTGTTATTATTAAAAAATATAAACTCTTCAAAGAAATATCCTCTTTTTCATATATTATATAATCATCTCAGAAAATGTCTTTGTTGTAAAATATTTTTCAAGGTTTTGTTCTTCAAATTTTGGTGGCAGAGTGAAGAGGATGATAATTGTTTTTACAGGAGAAGAAAAAGATGGAAGAAATCTAAAAAAAAATATGATGACATTTTAAGATCATTGAGAGAGTGAACAAATTGGAAATTGCTAAAAGTGAACTGGACTGAATTAGGAAGTATAGCCAGAGCAGATATCTGATCATTCAAGGAAGATTTCAGCAGTTTGAAGACATGCTTCAGGTGAAAAAGGTGGGGATCTCTCCTGATTCATTCCATTAAGCTAAATTATAAGAATGGACTCCCAGCTGTGTGTGGAGACTGACAATGAAAGTGAGCAAAGTTGAGGGTGAGTAGCTTTCAAAAAAGATAAAGCATGTCATGCACTTCCACTGATGATTTCTCTCAGCCCCATCCTCCAAGTGTGTGTGTCATAAAAAAAAGAATCTATCCATCATCTCCTTTTTAAAATAGAATCAATATGGGCTGGGGATTTAGCTCAGTGGTTTCTCTGCCTGCTGCGCAAGTGCAAGGACCCGAGTTCAATCCCCAGTACCAAAAAAAAAAAAAAAAAAAAAATAGAATCAATGGTTGCCTAGAGGCTAATTTTAAATATTTTCTTGACTTATTTTCAATGTATGAAAATAACGATGGTGTTGGAGAAGAGTTGAGGTAATCATTTTCACAGGGGTATCATTTCCCAGGAATTGTAGCTTGTACCTCATAGAATTCCTTTAATCACTGTGTGCATTAGTTTGTTAGAGCTTGACCTGATAAGCCCTATTTTTTTGTACTCCAGATTACAAAGAAGAGAACATCTTATTTCTTCTCATATCCACCGTAATCCATGGCTTGCCCATCATTTGCCAGGAAAACCTCATGCTAGTGAAAATATGATGCTCTACTTCTCCTCTGACTTCATTACTTCGAATCAATAGGAGCTCATTGAGGCCAGCCACTTTGCTGTGATGGTGTCTGCATGGAAGATGTTATAAATTGACAGCCTGTGTTCTTTTGTATCTTCTGTAGCCCATGAGGATCATAGGCTTTATTACATGTAAGACTTTTCCTATTTTGCAAGTATTTATGTGTTTAATAAATGCAATATCCCAGCACTCTTCTGTGTGACTCATATACAGCATGATCAAGACACAAGGTCCTGCCGCTGTGTTCTTATACACAGATGTGTGCGCTGCTCATTCCAAATCCCACCCTATGTTAGTTACTTTTCTCTTGTTGCTGAGACAAAATACCCAACACCCAAGTTAGAGGGGAAGAGGTTTATTTGGCTTACGGTTTGTAGAGGTTTCATTCCATAATCAGCTGGCTCCAAGACAGGGTGGCAGAGGGGCAACAGTTCGTGGCAGAGGAAGGCAGCAAAAGCAATAAGAGAAACGGTTCATGGAAGCGGAAGACAGCAAAAAGCAACAAAAGATCTTAACAGTGTCTTTCTGCTCCTTCTATCTTATTCAGACCGGGATAAGGGTGGTGCCAAACCAATCATGTGCAGTGGTTTAGTAATCATCACATGTTACAGATTTAGCTACC